CGTCATCGGCTACGGGACAGACTACGAGCTCCTGCACTTCGTTTACGACCTCAGCATGTGGACCACGGTGGGGACCAAAAAGAACATCGCACGTCAGGCCCAGGTCCCGCTGCGGCTTGCGCTGAGCGCTTGCCCCTGGACGCCACAATATTGGCGCGTCCGCCACCAGGCAGTCATCGACATGCAGCGCCAGTGCGGCAATGCGGCCCTGTTCCGCACCCGAGCCCCCTACGAGAAGAGCTTCCCCTACCACATGTGGGTCATGCACGAGCAGCGAATCGCCGGGCGACCGCGACTGCACCTGGCCGGAGCGGAGACCCTTCATCAAGCCCACATCCTCCTCGAGATGGACAAAGCTTTCTTCTGCGGGGCTCGCATGAAGAGAGGCCGCTCAGACCGCACCTGGTCCAAGCACCTCCTGGGAGCCGCGGATGTGCCCGACACAGAGACTGTCCTCGCCCACGTCACCCGCCTCGAGTTCCAGGACGGCAAGCGCAAGAGGGCGCGACAGGACTACCATGGACGCGGCACGACCCACAGCCACTCGCTGGACTACCTGCAGAACAAAGCCGCAATTGGACTCGAGAGGAAGATCTCTGCCCACGTGCCATCCGAGACCGAGGATCCCCTGCTGCGTGGCCTGGTGCTTGACGGCCAACGAGACTACACCAACTCCGGCGTGGAGGTGCAGGAGGAGCCTTCTGCCTGGGACAAGCAATCTGAGCTGGCGCTGCTGCAGCACACGGAAGAGGACAAGGAGCTCAAGGTGCGGCCCTACTTTCCGCAGGCGATGGCGATCACGAAGTGCCACGAGGACGTGCAGCAGGGCAACGGAAATGGCGCGGTCCTCCGGTACGTCGCGACCTACGCACCGAAGTTCAGCGACTCGATGGACCAGGAGTGGCTGAACGATCATGCGTCCGACTACAGCGTCGCCCGCCGGATCCTCTTCAGCTATCATCCACTGGAACCGGAAATGTGGCTCACGCTTGCCCAGGAGAGATTCCCGCAGATCGTCTACTCCGGCACCATGCTGAACCTGATGACGCCGTCTCTGGACTGCGCCGAGAAACCGCTTCCACTACAAAACTACGAGACCAGCACCTGGCGGGGCGAGGACATGTCCTTCTTGGACTATCTCCGCAAGAGCAATGCCTCGGGAGAGATCGTCCGCCACATCCGGGAGCAGCACAAGCGAGAGGTCGTGCGGCTGGTCGAGGACAGCCTGCTGGCGAAGGGAAAGTCTGCAAAAGACGCGACACGGGGTGTTTCGGCGTTGTTGGCAGCCTACAAGGCACACAAGTCACGCGCCATCGACGAGTACGAGGACCCCATGCCATTCGCGGAGTTTGCGTCCAAGGAGCACGGGATCGTGGCCCCTGCGCTGGAAGACTTCGCCAACAGCTGTGCCTGCAAAGGCGAGAAACTCATCGCCGCCGGCATGAACTCCATGATGAACGACAAGTACTACGGCCAGTGGCTGGTGCTGAACAAGCCCTTCCGCCGAATCGAGGACTTGGCCAGCCAAGCCGACATCCTGGAGAAGGTCCCGTCACACTACCGGCAGTTTGCGCTGGCCTTGCATCACGCGCCGGAGTTCTGGGGCGACGATGCGGCCATCAAGGCACAGATGGAGCTGGAGGCGCAGTCTCGGGCACACATCCGGACCATAGTCGACAAAGTGCACGCTCAGCGCCACCTCGTGAGGCGCTACCTGGCAGGGGAAATAGAGCAAGGTGCAGAGGACCAAGAGATGGAGGCAGAGGAGGATGAAGATCGAACCGCACGGCCTGCAGACGCAAGAAGCTCTCATGCACGCCTGACGCACTCCCAGCAGCGGCTGAAGGCGCAAATAGAGGAGAGGCTGGAGACGGCCTTGGCCGCCAGCCAAGCAGTCACGGATGAAGACTACGAAGACGCGGTGGCCGCGGCGAGAAGCAAATGCATGCTGTTTGCAGAGGGTCCCCCGGGGACGGGCAAGACCTTCGCGGTGCACGAGCAGATCCGTCGCTATGTGGCCAAGGGAGCACGTGTCCTCTTCGTGTTGCCGACGGGGCAGCTCGCAGCCGCCATGCGTGCCAAGCACCCGGACGTGGACGTTGACACTTTCCACGGCGGCCTACTGTTCCACAAGGACCTCTCCGAGGCCATGGGCATTCTGACCCAGTACGACCTCGTGATCCTCGACGAAGTCTCCATGCTCACGGCCACGCAGTTCGAGAGGGTCCTCGAAATGTGGCGGGCAGCGGACCGGCTCCCGTGCGTCGTGATGCTTGGGGATTTTTGGCAGCTGCCCATCGTGGACAGGACCGAGGAAAGATGCGACGCCAGTGCCTTCTGGCTAGCCAATGTGAGCGTCGTCCATTTCCACGAGCAGGTCCGCTGCAAGGATCCGCACTTACAGTGGAAGCTCGACTGCCTGCGAACTGCCGTCCCCAGCAAGCAGCAGTTGAAGAAGATCCTCCGTCGCAGGCGTGCCTGGCAGACATCGGAGCCCACCGCATGGGATGTCCTGACACTGTTGCGCGAGAAACCCGATACCACGGTGGTCACATGCACGCGTGGCGCCTGTGCCCTCTTCAACAACCTGGCTGCGAGGGTCCTCTTCCACGACAGGCATAAGACGTCGCTGGGCACGATTCCCATGGACTATGAAGCCAACGAGGATAACTTCACGCAGCATGGGAAGTTGCGGGAGGGCGAGCTGTCACCGAGTCAGACCGACGTCTTCCAGGGTGAGCGTATCTTCCTGACGCGAAACTTGGACAAGGAAAACGACTTCGTGAACGGCATGAGCGCCATCGTCGAAGACTACGATCCGACCAGCAAGTGCCTCCATGTCATCACCGCGACGAACAAGTCCTTGGCTGTGCACCTGTGTACCGAGGAGATCGAAGGCCACGGGCACGTCACAGCGTTTCCGGTGCGGCTGGGCTACGCCTGCACCATCCCCAAAGTGCAGGGCGCCACCCTGCCTCATGTGACCGTTTGGTTGGACCGGCCGCTGTGCCGCGCCGCGGCCTATGTGGCAATGTCGCGAGTGGAACACGACGACAACTACATCATTGCTGGCAAAGTCACCGTCGAGCACTTCATTCCAGCGCAGTAAGCTGCAGGTTTCACTTCTGCGAGCCCTGCATGGCTCGGTCGTGTAGTGTTGGAAAACCGAGCCTACTGAAGGCAGCCTAGTCGAGAATTCCTTCGCAAGTGATGTCGAGGATAGAACAGCCGCGACCTGGCGATTGGATACGAGATCAATAGTCGCAGAATCCGCAAAAAAGATGTGACGGGACCCTTCGAATTTCGATGTGCTGCAGAACTGCCACAGCTTCCATGATCAGCTCATTCTCATATGCAAAAAGGCACAATGATGCAGCGTAGTTGCTCTGTCAAACCTGCTCACCCGCATCCTTCGCAATGGCATGGCCTCGCGGACGTCGCTGGGAGGACTTCGAAAATGATGGGACTTGTCAGACATCCACCGAGGGCTGCTAGGTGCACGAGGGCGTGCTCCGAATGGTGCGCCACAAGTGGCAGGTGGCGCAAGCGACAAAGGCCCCACATTAAAATTCAAAAAATAAATCCTAGAACCTAGGCACTTGAATAAACCTTTAATCCTAAGTACTACAGCCTCTAAACCTAAATCCTAGATCCTATATCCTAAAATCCTAGTACTTGAATCTGATATCCTAGATCCCAACCCCAAAACTGCAAAGTAACAAGGTCAGCGAGGGCCTTGCGCCCGTCGTTTCCAAGAAGTTGAAAAGTATCCACGAACACATCCATGGCGCGTTATATTTTCTGCTTCTTCTCCGGCTCCTTCGTGCTTCCTGTGCCTAGTATCTTGACAATCCTCACGAACTTGCATTTTTAAAGAAAGCGGCATTGCTTAAAAATTAACGGGCGAGGCTTTACCCCCAGCTCGCCTTTGGACGCGGGTGTTGGGAAAAGCCCCCCTTGATAGGGGGGTTGGGGGGTAGAAACCCTAAACCCTAATAGAGTATAGTTTGGGTGGCCGGGGTGGGTTTACAAGCAACGCGAGCGCGCGGCCCGGGGTGCTTCACACCCGAGCGCGCGACTTCGCTTGCCACACCCTAAACCCTAAAATCTAAACCCTAAATCCTAAACCCTAAAACCTAAACCCTAAATCCTAACCCTGAACCCTAAACCCTGAACCGTGGCATTGCCTGTCTGAACCCTTGAGGCGAAAGTGGATCTTTTCCACTAGCACACAGCTGTGCCCTGAAGCCAAATCTGGGTGCTGCTTGGAAAGGAGGAGCTCGACATCTGAAGCTTACCTCAAGGACGAAATGACCCTTAAAAGTAGGGGCCCTATATCCATATACTATGAATCCCTATATGATTATATGGTATATGAGCCTTAAACGTCCATTTCGTCCTTAAGGTAGTTCATCATTACGCGAACGTGCGTGCAAAGTTGTCGACAGACAGTCTCGCTGAAGCGGACAGAAATTCAAAGTCTCTGAAGCCTGCTGTTAAAAGTACTTCGCCAGGTGGGGCGACCTGTCACCAAGCCAAAGCATAGCGCTGACGCAGGACGGCAGCTTTGCGCCGATTGTGGACGCGAAAAACTTCCACTTCTGGTGCCCAAATACAGCCATTTAGGGCAATTTAGGGTTGTAGATTTCGGGCTTCAAGCTTGCATAGCTAGTTGGGCCATGCTTTAGGGTTAAGGCGGGTGTCAAGGATGATGTAGAGTTCAAGTATGAAGCACGTGAACAAAACATTATATGCCCCATCTCACCTTGCACACGGACCCGACACTCCCTTCCACCATCACCCACCTGGGCTACGCGGCTACACGCTGGCTCCAATTCTTGCGATTTGAACAGCGCTCTTTACACCTGGACCCCAAACCCCAAAACCCCTGCCTCAAAATCTACAAGCCATAAAAGTGCATCGTAAACCCTAAAGAATCCCATAACTAAATCACCCGAAATCCAAGGACCCATGCCCCAACGAAACTTGAGCTTGGGAGCCTCCAGGCAAGCCCGGATGGCATCGTACATGCCTACCTGGCAGACACGGTTTCGGGTGTTTAAAGCTCATCGGACCTAGAGCCTCGCATGGGACCTATTCCTGGGCTTAGGGTTTAGGCTTCAGGGTTCCAGTTTAAGTGTTATATAGGGCCTGCATAATGCCAATATTATTACTGGGGTTTTCTTGTTGATGCTTTTACTATACGTACTATGAACTGACTATCTATGAATTTCCCCGAAAACGACACTTGTTCGTCATCCAGCACTAAGCCATCTCTGACCCCACCCTTGAAATCCCACAAACAGTCGGTAGAGATGGTGAGACTGCCGGCTTTGATCTCCAAGTGGCTCCGACTGTGACGTTTGCCCGTTCTATTTACAAAACAACCAGGACGACAAGGATAGGACAGCCAAATGCATCGCTGTTGTGGTGGCGAAGCCACTTGGTAGCCTGCCCTAAACCCGAAACCCTCAACCTTAAACCCTGAACCCAAACCTTTAAGACGGCAAGCGAAAGGAAGCGGATCGGTTCGGATCGGGCATACGAGTCTTTGGAAACGGCCCACAAATTGCAGGGTTGCTCCATGTCCGAATGATGGCCACATAGTTCTCTAAATTCGGGTCCTTTTCATAAGGTGCCGTAGTAATTTGAGGGACTTTAGAGAACTACCAACATCAATAAACCCTGCTGGCGCTACTGATAACCTTTGGGCCGCCAATTTGGGCCATTGGGCTTTCACAGAGGGCTTGAATAACTGAGTTGTCCTTTAAGCCCTTTGAAAACTATTTACTATTATGGTTCTCTACAAAACAGTAGGGGAAATTAAAAAAGGATCCCAAAGGACAACCCAGATAATTAGAACAAGGCTTGGGGTGTATTAGGCTGTCAGTACATATGGCATGTACGACACAACTGTGCATTGTGTACGGCTACCCCACGGAAGAGCAGCACTCCGCTGTGGATCTTGCGACTCGACGACTGCAAAAAGATGCAACCATCGTCTCGTTGGCCAGTTCGCTTGGGTTGGTCACAAAAGGGTTTAGGGTTTTAGGGTTTGGGGTTTTAGGGTTTAGGGTTTAGGGTTTTAGGGTTTAGGGTTTAGGGTTCTTCATCCTGAAGCCGTGTCAGGAATTTCTTGCCCGATCCACCAGCGGCCACCAACAAAAAGCATCTCTGATTCTGTCATGCGTTAGAAGGGGCCCCCACCCTGTAATTAATAGTGACTATAAGGATTATATTTGGGCCCTATTGTATTCCTATTATACCCCTATTACAGGGTGGGGGCCCCTTCTAAGTCATGCGGGTCGTCCTGCCCTGTCAGCGAAGCAACTAAAAATTCCAAGTGTTGAAGTCTCGCCACAAGTGGGAGTTTCCGAAAATTAGGGGTGCCTTATTTGGGGGTCCTTATAATCAGGATCCTACTATCTAGGGTACTATATTAGGGTCCCCCATTTTCGGAAACTCCCAAGTCAGCTGAGGTTGCTTCCTGAAGGATGACCAATGCACCGACCCTGTCAAATCATACTGTTATGTTGCTGGTTATTCTGTGATTTGGCTGTTTATGCAGATCTTAGGTCAACCCTGAACCTGGCACAGGAAATCCCCAGAATACTCTGATAAAACAAAAACAAGACCTACACATGAAGGTTGCAGGGACACCAATACAGGGTAGTTAGGGGGCGCCTGGTGAACCCTGGGCACTGATCTAGACCCCTGAGCCTACTTTTAGAATCCCTGCTACAATCCCCAAACACAAACCCTATAACCTGGAGTCGAAGGGCGGGGCCCTAAACTCTAAACCCAAAACCCTAAACCCTAAACCCAAAACCCTAAACCCTAAACTAAAACCCTAAACCAAAACCCTAAACCCTAAACCCTAAACCCACCATACTATAGGGGCCTAAATGATTACCATGCGGGCGGGGGGGGGGGGGGGAAGGGGGGCGACACCCCCGCACTAAAGCTGACGTATCCAGGTCATCGGGGTTTAGGGTTTAGGGTTTAGGGTTTAAGGTTTAAGGTTTAGGGTTTAAGGTTGAGGGTTTAGGGTTTAGGGTTTAAGGTTTAGGGTTTAGGGTTTAAGGTTTAGGGTTTAGGGTTTAGGGTTTAAGGTTTAGGGTTTAGGGTTTAAGGTTTAGGGTTTAGGGTTTAGGGTTTAGGGTGCAGTAACCAGGATGAAAAATTCACACTTTTATGTCACAATGGTTTCTTTAGAAAACAAGTCCCGAAACAAGTATGAAAGTATGGTTCTCCAGGATACATTTTGCTTGGAGTTTAGGCTTAGGTGTGGGGAAACTTTATAAGAGTTTCGGATGCGATGCGGGTTCCTGTACGGTTACTATATGCAAGCATAACGCAAGGTTTAAGAGTTTAGGGCTTATGTTTCGAGTAAAGGGTAAAGCGGGCTTTCAGTTGGGATTTAGGGTGTAGGAGTTTAGAACTCAGCACGTGGGAATATGCAGCAGGCAAGGAATGGGGGTATAGTGGCAATGCGTTTGATGTTTTTGAAAAAGGGATTTAGGTAGTGCTTTTTAACTCTTTGGCCTGCGGGAGTCTGTGAACGTTTGACTTCAGCCGTAAAGATCAACTGGCGAAGTCCTGTGGGGTTGGAACTTCTTACCAACAAGATCCCCCTATTGGCCCGGTACTGGGATTTGAAGTAGGAGACAATGGTATAAACTGTTACGTCAAAAACGGTTCCCTTCAGGAACAGGTACCAATGAAGCTATGAAAGGTGCTCCACAACCCAGTGTCCAAACCACAGCAAAACACATCCTTCTGACCATTATGGCCCCGTCTTGAACCTTTATATTATGCGTTTCCAGGAACTCTACCCTCACACATGAGGGCCCTTTTATGGCGTTTTAGATCCTTGGAAGTTTAGGGCACACGCAGAGCCCAATGCCAACAAATTACCCCTCAATTCATCAAGAAAGCTTAAATCATGATATGAAGCCTTGTGTGACTAAAGGTATCCCTTAATAAGGAGTATTCATTCAACCCTATAAAAACCCTAGTAGAGCCCTTTAGAGACAGCTGAAAGGAACCCTAACTTTCAGGTATGCTCCTTAAATAAGGGGCGCTGTATGGAAACCCTAAACCCTAAACACCGAAACCCTCTGGGAAGTTATGGGGGAAGGACCTTCTCCAGCGCAAGGCGGGAGTCACGGCCCTTCATCTCGAGGATCAGAACCTGCCCGGGTAGTTGAAGACTCATGGGACATAGAAAGTAAAGTTATAAGTAGGTTATAAGAAGGAGAACTCCGCTAAAGGGACTTATAACCCCAATTATAACCTATCTTACTAAGTCCCATGATCCTCTAAGTAGGCTTTATGAAGTAAAGGCCTTAGAGCTTAGGGTTCAGGGTTTAGGATTATGGGGAGTTTCTACAAGGGGTTTATAAGAGTTTAGCGCAGGGGTTTTGATGATGACAATAGGTTTTTAGGTATGTTATAGCAAACTTATAGGACCATAAGAGGGTACTATTACTAGTTATGCCAACCACAATAGTAGGACAAAGGCTGCAGGATTGGCTTTACTTACGATTTGAGGGTCGGGGTTTCGAAACAAGGGCTCAGGTAAGTGTCAATGCTCCACCTAACACCGGGTTTTTCACAACAAAATCATGAGCAGGAGTCCTGTCTGCATTCCCTTGCATGGCTCTGTGTAGTGCGTAGTCTATTGTTCAGTGTAAAGTACACAGGCAAAAATGGGTTCTGTAGGGTGAACCAGAATATAGTCATATTAAGAAACCCTAAGGCAGGGTTTGCTACTTAGCCGGCTTCTAAACCCTAAGCCCCAAACCCCTTCCTGAACCTTTTAAAAAAGCTCACAAAGGCCCCTAAATCCTCATAACCTACACCTTGACAGTAAACCCCATAAAGTTGGAAACCGGATTAAGGCCCAATGGAGCTGGGATTTCCTTTACATTGCTCTTAAGGATTGAGGCTATTGGGTTTCCAACTCTTGGGCTTCTACTGTAAACCCTATATCCTCTAAAAGGAGCCCTTAGAAGGAACCTCAAGGGCTTGGTTCCGGGGTTCAGGATTTCGGTTTCGGGTTTCGGGTTCCGTTAAGGGTTGTGCTGAGGCTTGTTGCAGGGTTCCTTTGCCCGTATCTATGAGGTTTAAGGTATATCCTTCGGGTTCAAGTGCCCAAATAATCGTATTACGCCCTCCCAAATCCTAACCTACAATACCGTTATCCAAAGCCCCTAAGCCTAAGTACCTAATCATTACCAAGAACCACCAAAACCTAGCTTTTTCTACGGCCCCTAGAAAAATCCATATTCGGATCTATAGTAGGAACCTGCAAAGTGGTAGATTATGGTAGTTTGAGGTAGGTCCTTTGGACCCCAATGGTTTACTTGGAGGGTCAGCGGATGTAGTACTTAGTAAGTAGGTAGAAAGTAGACTTATAAGTACCGCAAAGGTGACGCTAATGGGGCTTATGATACGTATAAGTCTAAAACAAAACAACTACCTACTAAGTCCCTGACCTTTGCTTGTAGAACCCTTCTAGATGCATTTAAGGAGCTCTACTTACTAAGTCCCCCGACCCTCCAACTAGGTTCTGGCGACCCTAACCCCTGAACCCTAAACCCCCAAACCCTAACCCTCAAACCCTAAATCCGAAGCCCTAAACCCCAAACCCTAAGCCCTAAGCCCTAAAAACCCTAAATCCGAAGCCCTAAGCCCTAAAAACCCTAAATCCGAAGCCCTAAACCCTAAAAACCCTAAACCTCCAGCCTTCAGAAGCGCAAGCTTCGCCTCCAGGTACTCGGCCTGCTTTCACTGTTTACTCACGGGCTCATGGGACTTAGTAAGGAAGGTTTAGGGTTCCTTTTAAGGGTGCTATGGGGTTCTATAGTAGGGTTCCCTTTAAGGGTTTCGGGGTTAGGGTCTGCTGAAAGGCTCATGGGACTTCGTAAGTAAGGCTATAAGTAGCTTATAAGTAGGGTAACCCCACTGAGGGGACTTATAACCCCAACTATAACCTACTTACTAAGTCCCATGATCCTCTAAATAGGCTTTACCTGGACCGCCCAACTACCCTCTGTTATGCCAGGGCACTGGGGGGGGGTCCTGTAGGGTGCAGGGTTCAGGTCTTCGAGGGTTTAGGGTGTAAGGCCCAGCATTGGGGTGTAGGGTTTGATTAGAATGAGTGTGTCGGGCCTGGCGGTTTAGGGGGGGAATGTTCTACAATATAGAGGCCTGGCTAGCTAGACTAGCGTTTTGGAAGGTTTGTGCTGACTGCGTAATTATGCATTCAAGCCTTGTCGCAGCTTCAGGTGTTGGGTGGAAGCCTTCCTCAAGCACGACAGGGCTGTCGTGCACTGAACCTAACTGCAGTTACACTTGAAAGGGTGTTGCTCTTCGGCTTTCGGACCCGCAGATTTTGGATTAGACGTGCGGCTCTGATGAGTGAAAATGAGCCACCCAACATGGAGAGAGTCCAGGGTTTAAGTGGGTCGGGTTCAGGATTCCAGGTTTGGGATGTAAGATTCAGATCAAAACCTGCTCGCCAACTAACTACAAACAACTAAACCCTAACCCATAGTGGACACCCGAAGGAGCTGGGTGTTGAAGTAGCCAGGGGGAACAATGCTAGAAAAAAGCTATAGGCTTGTATTTCAAAATAGTTAGTTCCGTTAAGGACCAAATCAAAAAGACAAGTATTTAAGTTCTAGACTAGTGATTCGTAATTAGTTCTTCTAAGGAACAGGTCAAGAGCAAGTATTCAAAGTGTGATATCCAGAACTATACTGAACTTAGAACCCTACCAAAAAAAATATATATATATATATATATATAATTTTGTGGTTTTTTAGGGATTATCATAACCCAAAATTGAAAATTATTCCTAAGTACCCCTAAGCAGAACCCAGGGAAGAGCTCCGGGGGAGTCTGCAAGCCTTGTTGCTTTGAAGCGACTCCAGTGCCTGTCAGGCCCCGTGTAGGGGTTAAGGGCTTAGGGTTTAGGGGTTTAGGGTTTAGGGGTTTAGGGGTTTAGGGTTTAGGGGGTTTGGGGTTTAGGGGCACACAAGCGCTGCTTTGGGTTTATGGGTTTCGGGTTTAGGTGTGCTTTTACGTACTTGTCGGGTATCATGAGGAACTAAAGGTTAACCTTTTTGGTTATATAGGGATTATATAGGGACTATACTACCCCAAAAAAGTTAAAGTTTGCCTACTCTACTGCTAGGTTTTAGGGTTCATGGATTCCACACGGTTTTATGAAGGTTCATGCGGTTTAGGGCTTAAAGGCAATTTCAAGGTTAAGGATCGCAGGGTCTTTAAGGCCAAGGGCCTTTGAGGGCTAGGGAAAGGTTCCGGTGTAGACCGGCCATATTGAAAATCTATGGCTCCAACTGCCTCCGATTCGCGAATGTAAGGAGCATGTGGGACGATTACTTACATTTGGTTATTGGTAGGGAATGGAAGAATGGTAGTAATAGTAGTTATAGTTGTACTCCATTCCTCCATTCCCTACTAACCAGAAGTAAAATTAGAGACTGCCGGGGTTCGACTTCAGGGCAGCAGGGCTTGGGGCACTGTGCGGCGCAGGTCCAGGGTGAGAACGTCAGCGCTGGCATCGTTACCTAAAGGCTCAGGGGACTTAGTAGTATAAGTAGGGTTTTAAGTAGGTTATACTTCGGATAACCCCACTCAGGGGACTTATAACCCCAATTAAAACCTACTAAGTCCCACGATCCTCTAAGTAGGTTGGCTGAGTTGAGGCACAAGATTTCCATCAAGTGTCACAGGTCAGGGTTGTTTGGCGAACGGGTTGGGACTTAAGGTCAAGGGACTTCGGGTTTACGGTTCAGGTTTTGGGGCATAGGCTGCTAAAGTTGACATTGAATCCTTATGGGAGGGGGCTCCAGGGGTAGAGGACCTACTAATCCCAAGTTCTCTCTAGTGCTCCCTAAGGTTCCCTAAGGATCCCTTGTACCCTCCCCCCTTGAACCACCCTCCCTTAAGGACCCTATAATGACACGCTCCGCGGGAGGTCTTTCTCTTTTTTCAATCTGCACCGATTTCAGCAGACAGAAAATCGATCTGACACACTTGGCTCACCTTGTATGAGCCGAAGCAGGGAAGCAGTCGGTAGATAGAAGCCCTGGAGGTAGTACAAAGCCGTACTATAAGCCATCTCTAAAAACCTTACGAAGCTTTCATCGAAATCCCGAGGGGCCCTCCTACGAACCCCAAACCCCCCATATAGGAAACTTTACGAAACTAATATAGAAACCCCAGAATGGCCGAAAAGTCCAGAAAATCAGTCGGAGCTCGAGGAATCCGACTCCTCCCAAACCTGGGCTCTTTGCTGCGGTTTAGGGTATAGGGCTTACTTACCTTTGGTTAGTAGGGAATGGAGGAATGGGGTACAATTATAACTACTATTACTACCATTCTTCCATTCGCTACTAGCCAAGGGTAAGCTCTCTGCTGCGGTGTGGGGTTTTAGGGTTTAGGGCCGCCCGAGTGCTCTTTTTTGTGGTCCTTGATAATAGTGGGTATTTCGGGTATAACAAAGAGTAGCTGGGGGGGTCTAGGTAGGGCGCGGGGTTTAGGGTTTCAGGCTTGAGGTTTAAACTGCAATAAATGCTGAATCCACAAATAAGTTTTAGGGTGCAATATAGGAACCTGATCAAGAATCGCTGGGGCTTTATTAGGGTCCCTTGTACGAGTTCGAATATCTTGGTGTCATAGGACAGGATATCTTAGTCAGATTCCTACATTAGGGCTTACACTAAAACGAAATACCTCATCCCTAAACCTGTTGATCAAAAGCATGTCCAAAACAGCCTAGACACAGGCAGCTTGTGCTCCTTTCCTTTGTCCAAGGCTTTGTGGGTCTTCGACTCAGTTTTCTCGGCAGCCTGCGACATCCAACGTTTGGGTTCTCGACTCAGTACTTAAAGACTCATGGGACTTAGTAAGTATGGTTATCAGTAGTTATCAGTAGGTTATAATTAGGATAACCCCACTTAAGGGACTTATAACCTCAATTATAACCTACTTACTAAGTCCCATGATCCTTTAAGTTAAGTAAGGGTTCCGGTTCAGGGGTGTCGGCTTTAGGCTTTGGGGGTTCAGGGTTCAGGGCTTTAGGGGTTCACGGTGTCGAGGTTGTTTGCTCAAGACCGAAGACTCTTGCAAACTCACCTGCCACTTGCCCCTACATCCAACAGCATGCAATGAGCTGCATAAGTAAAAACGGTGACACCGCTTGCAACATCAAGATCGCTGCAGTCATGCTTGTTGCGCTAGTGTCCTCAAAAGCTTGAAGTCCAAAATCTTCGTGCGCCTTGACGATATGTTCCAACCCAGAAGGGTGATGCTTGCACTTGTCAGCCAGGAGGTCGATGATTTCCTCTGCGCAGAAGCGCGCACACACAAGGCGCAACTCTGCTCTTGAGTCTATCAGCTTACTAGAGGGGCCTACATAATTAGCTGAACTATTTTGGTGTTCCTTATCGTAGTCTTTAGGGTTTCAGACTTTGTGGGTCTAACTCCGCAATCAAGTGCCATGTGCGTGCGCCTGTCACGATTCGACAGCATGCGTGCTGATAGACCCCCAGTTCTCTCAGCAAGCTTGAAGCCATGTATACATTTGTACTATGCATGTGTATCTATATACATACAGGTGTTATATGTGCATATAGTATGCACATACCAACCAACCAACATACATACATACAGACAGACAGACATACATGCATACACACATACATACACATCTATATAGGGTCTGGAATTAGTTTGGGATTTTTTTTTTTGGCATCTTTTTTTTTGTGGTTTGCTTGGCCGTGTTGCATTGCCTCAAAATACACCAATTCCTGAATTTCCCAAGGGAAAACATTATTTTCCTATGGATTTTCTTTCATTTCCTTAGGATCTGATTGGTTTTTCCTCGGGGAAACACGATTTTCCTACGGATTCCGTGGTATTTCCTGAAATTTTCCCTGGTTTTTCCTAGGACAAACACCATTTTTCTATTACCTATTGCATTCGTGTCATTTCTTCAGGTTTTCAGAAGGAAAACATACGTTATCTTTGGTTGTTCCTCGGGAAAATCAAATTTTCGTTGCAATTTCGCATTTAGGACGGAATTCGTGTTGTAGCTGTTGCTGGTATTCCGCTTCATCACCTATCTTACACACACCCCCTCATTTGGCGATTCTGGTTAGCGGGGGGGTTGGGGGGGGGCGCAGCCCCCCCCATTTCCTTAGGATCTGATTGGTTTTTCCTTGGGGAAACACGATTTTCCTACGGATTCCGTGGTATTTCCTGAAATTTTCCCTGGTTTTTCCTAGGACAAACACCATTTTTCTATTACCTATGGCATTCGTGTCATTTCTTCAGGTTTTCAGAAGGAAAACATACGTTATCTTTGGTTGTTCCTCGGGAAAATCAAATTTTCGTTACAATTTCGCATTTAGGACGGAATTCGTGTTGTAGCTGTTGCTGGTATTCCGCTTCATCACCTATCTTAAACACACCCCCTCATTTGGCGATTCTGGTTAGCGGGGGGGTTGGGGGGGGGCCCCCCCCCATTTGCAGACACAACGCTCACATGATGGGTTTCGAAAACACTGTTTGAATCAAGCTTGCACGGCTCGAAAAGCGCGGCGGTGGGTCTTTCGTTCTTCCGTGCCTGTTCGTGTCTCTTCTTCCGTCAGCATTCTATAACATAATATAACATAGTAAACCATAAGAACGACATAAGATGGTTCGACATCACAAAAACCGTGTGACATTTTCTGACATAACAGAACCTTGCTTCTTATAGCATCTAATAAACATAACAAAAGACGACAATACAATATAACAGAAGATAACATAGAACAAAACAACATCTTAGTTTATAGTGTAGTACATTGTAACATAGTACAATATTGTTTGTATATATAGAACATAATATTTGGTATATTATATAACATCAGGTTACATTATGCTAAATATTTTAGGGTCCATTACGATATTATTGCATATTCGATTGGACTATGTAGTATCCTATTGCTTGTATCTTTGTTTCTGTGATTCTTTCATGTTCTTTCTCTTTCGTATTTTCCAACTTTGCCTGTTTATTCTGGATTTATTTCTTTCTTTCGCTCGTTCATTTCTTTTATTTCTTTCTGGTGTTCTTTCTTTATTCATTTCATACTCCCTTCCTTCCTTTCTTTCTTGCTTTCTTTTTCATTTATTTCGTTTTTTTCTCGTCCTTTCTTTCTTTCGTCCTGCCTTCGTTCCTTTCTTTCTTTTCAGATACAGCAATTCTTGAATTTTTCCAAGGGAGAACACTGTTTTCCTATGGACTCTCTTTCATTTCCTAAGGATTTGCTTGGTTTCTCCTCTGGAAGACATGGTTTTCCTACGGATTCCGTTGTGTTTTCCAAGTTTTCCTTAGTTTTTCCAAGGAAAAACACCATTTTTCTATTACTTATGGCATTCGTGTCATTTCTTCAGGTTTTCAGAAGGAAAACATACGTTATCTTTGGTTGTTCCTCGGGAAAATCAAATTTTCGTTACAATTTCACATTTAGGACGGAATTCGTGTTGTAGCTGTTGCTGGTATTCCGCTTCATCACCTATCTTAAACACACCCCCTCATTTGGCGATTCTGGTTAGCGGGGGGGTTGGGGGGGGCGCAGCCCCCCCCCATTTGCAGACACAACGCTCACATGATGGGTTTCGAAAACACTATTTGAATCAAGCTTGCACGGCTCGAAAAGCGCGGCGGTGGGTCTTTCGTTCTTCCGTGCCTGTTCGTGTCTCGTCTTCCGTTAGCACTCTATAACATAATATAACATAGTAAACCATAAGAACGACATAAGATGGTTCGACATCACAAAAATAGTGTGACATTTTCTGACATAACAGAACCTTGCTTCCTATAGCATATAATAACATAATAAAAGACGACGATACAACATAA